TTAAGCCTTTATTTCTTTTTCTACCTCTAAAGCTCTGACTTTTTCATTCCTTGATTTTTCTGAGTTCTTTATTTTATAATCATAGCACAAGACTTTTGAAAATGCAAGGCAGGAATCTTAAAGCCTAATAAAATCTGAGCTTTCAAGTGGCTTTCACATGGGTCAGCACATCTGTGATCAGTGCTTTTGAACCAGAACCCAACACTGAATATAACAGATTCGGGCCAGATGCCTTGGATTAAAATGATCAAGGAACAGAATACAGTAACAGAAGTAATTTGACCTAATAATGTATTTTTAGACGAAGAATGGAGGAGTTGAATTCCCTATCAAAATTGACATTTCCTTGAAATGTGAAGGTAAAACTGAGGCTTCATTCTGTGTCCTCCAGCAATGCAGCAAGTCAGTAAAAAAAAGAAAAAAGGTACATTTATTTCAAACAATAAATGGCTGTGAAGCAGTCGGCATTTTTAATATTGTCTGTTAAATCAGGCAAGAGAGACTAACAGTAAAAATATTACAGTAAAATGAGAGGAGTGCTGGACTCCATGAGAAGATGATTAATATGTTTTTACAGCAAAAAATTAAAAAGAGAAGGTGAAGGAATAAAGAATCTCTGGCTGATCAAATGCTGAAGATCCAGTCTTGCGATTTTGGCAAGCTGAGGCCCCCTCCGCAAAGTAGATTTTTACTGGAATGTGGGGCAAGACAGAAGAACAGATGTGATACCAAGCATAAGAAATTAATCATGAGAAGAGAAGGAAAAATAAACACGCATAAGAAGTCAGCTAGGCCAAGCCGATGCCTTTGAAAGATGGGACACTACAGTTCGGACTCTATAAAGAAGAAAACACAGAAAAGTGTAAGAATATATTTATAAGAAAAGAAGAAGAAAAATGACTCTTTAGAGCAATCAGACAAGGAAGACTGGAGACCCCTGCCCCAACATTTGAAGACAGGTACCAAATAATGAGTAGGAAATCTTTTTAAGAAAAGGAATAACTTAAAAGCTTCAACACTGAGATACTATGACAGTAAGTGGACAATGTCATTGTCCGCAGATGGCCCAAGAGTTTTGGTTCTACCAGAATGAACTAATTTATTGCCATCTGATAGTAGCAATGTTACTCAGAGGAGCACCCCAGAATGAGGGACGTATCCTTGGGAGGAAAAAATCTTTTTGTTTTCTCTTTGGTCAATGGGGAGAGGGAGGGACTCAATCAATGGTCACTCAGAGCAGGAGTCCGCTTTGGATGCTCTCATGGACTGCTTGAAGGGACTTCTTCTGTAAGGAAGAAGGGGGGCTTGCTTCCATAGCCTAAGTGGGCCTCTGGGAAATGAACACTGCTAATTAGTATAAGTCTTTCATGAATTAATAAACACTAGGTCTCCAGACCTTTCTTCCAAATATTTTGGAGTCTAAATGAATAGCCTGTTTTTCAAAAAGGCTGATCTGGTAAGGAATCACTAATTGGTTCACACTTCCAGGCGGCATTTGAACTAAACATTTCAGAGTCAACTTTAGATTCTTTATAAATAATTTTAACATCAGCATTTTCCAAGTGTAACCTCTTTTTAGCAGAGAATGCTTCTTATACTAAAAGTTAATGTCTCTCCTGTTAACTTGAAAAAATGCCTCCATAAAAAGGTTGTTTATTTTTAAAATATTGAAAGTAATCTAAAAGGATTTCACAAATATTTAACATGGCCATGACACTCAGAGTATTTCTTATTGAAATTCAGAACAGGGAGAAAAAATTCTCATTAAGATTCAGGGGATTTCAAAGGTAAAATCACAATAAATTTTTATTATCGCACAGATCCAATGTTAATAAAAATGTCCCAGTAACAATTGTTTTGTGCTTATAGGACATATACAGTGGCCTTGTACTCTTGTTCAGAAAAATGATGTGGGAAGCTGAAAGGTAATTTGGCATATGTTCAGCCTTTTTCTGAAAGACTTACATAGCACTATGTAGAATATGTGTGTGTGTTTATGTGTGTGTATTCTATTTAAAAAAATGAAAAAAAAAAAGAAGCAATGAATAAACAGACTGTTCTAGATCTTGAAAATACTGACAATACATATTGCTGGAGATGGAGGAAAAGAATAAAAGGATATAGCACCAGCACCTCCTTCTCATACTTTAGTATCTTATTTACTTAGTTATTCATAAGCTGATGAGAAGCCTTCAGGCCATAAAGATTGCTATTAACCTAGCATTAAAGAAATATAGCTTTTACTCTGTTGCTTTATTACCTTCTGCAAAGGGTTAACATCCTTGCTTTTCATTCTTCCTAATGAAAGTATTTTAGAGCAGAAAGGTGAGAAGAATTTACCCTAATTTCTAGGCAAAACATCTGCATTAAAATAGCTTAAACACAAGTCATAACTTCCCATCAGGATGCAGAACACATTTATTCAGTTAGTGCAGATTGCAAGTAACAGGCAATCAAACAAATTACTAGGGAGAGAAGTTGAATTAACACACAACCACTATGTACTCTTCAAAGCTGAATGTGATTAACAGGATCAGAATGTGATTTTGGCTTTTTCAAGGCAGCAGAATTTAGAACGAGGTACAGGCAATTAGTCTGCGACTGATAGGATCATTAGCTGGTTACAAGAAGAACCATGGTTTACAGTTTAATGTACATTTCTACAAGCAGCTGATCAAAAAGCCGTTTAACATCTTGTGTCTGAAAGAACTCTCTTGGGCTATAGCTACTCCCTTTGTACATATCTGTTTCCCACCTTGCTTCAGATGTTAAAGACAATTCAGTGTGATTTGGGGGACATGGCGTGACTAGTATTTGTACTGTAAATGATCTTCTTGATCAGAAGAAAACAGTCACATGCATGCTCTGTCCCTGCTCCGAGTAGTCCGAAGCTAATAAACCTCAACTCTCAGCTTCTGACTATGCAGATGTGCCCAATCTTCATATAGCCACCTTTGCACCTGAACTCCTTGAGAACCACAACTTATAGATGCAGAGACCTTTTACCTGGCAACATTCACTTCTCCCAAGAGCAGGAACATAAGGATGAGACACTTCTAGACATTTGGGACAGCTGCCCATAAACCAGTTTGGATCTGCAAGCAGTACAACTGCATTTGCGTGCACTGTGCTTGAGCACTGCTATACCGACCCTGGACTCAAGATAGTCCTCATGGTGATGCACTGCCTACCACAACCTACTGGCTTGGGTCTCCGTTATATCAGGAAGCTCAGTACAAGTGGAGTAGATGTGCCATGAAATATCAACCATAACTTTCTGAACATCCCCTCCCCACTCCCAACACACCTTTTCCCTCTTCTACATACTTGGTGGAAATAAATTAAGTTCCAGGCATTTGCTGGGACTATTAAGCAGGCAGGACAGCACATGAATAATAAGCCATGTGTGGACAGGACTCAGGACTCTCATGCTTTCATGAGATCACATGTGGAAGCTGAGTGACCACACAGCTCAAGTAGTCTCTCCTGGAGCAGAAATACACACTGCGACTCTGGCTTACAAGAAGACAAGCTTCGAGAAAATACAAATTGCAGAAGTCTCCAGCATCTCAGACATTAACAGGGGAGATGGATCTAGATGGCCATACATGGCAACCAGCTCTGGGTGGCCTCGCTTGATCAGGGGTAGTTGGACTACATGACCCCCAAAGGTCCCTTACAACCTCAACCATTCTGTGATTCTCTGATACCTAGCAGAACCCAGCCACACCGCCCAAAGCGTTGGAGACTGGGAAATGAAAAAGCACAGGTAGGCTGCGTTTATACTGACAAGCAGCACAGTGCAATGGGTGCAGATCTGTAAAACAAAGCAGCTGATATGGAGAACAGGATGTCTACACAGTGTGTGCTGCAGGGTTTTTACTTCCAGCTAGTCTGGACCAACTTTTGAAGCACGTCTTTTGGCTTAATTTCATCTGAAGGGAATCCATTTCATGCTCTGTGAGGATACTCCATCATGTGAACCAAAGCATGAAAACTGAAGACAGTCTTTAAGAATAGCATACTCCTTATCTACCCTGCAATGTTAAGGAGAAGAAAGAACCCTCAGAATCCAGGGGGCACCGGGTCCTATTTCACAATGAAGCTAATGGTAAGATGGCTCACTTGACCTTCAGCTGTGCATCTCTTCATCTCAGGACGTACAATCTCAGCTTCAATTCAAAGATGCAAAGAGAGATGGGGTGGAAGATTTCAGGAGTGCTGAGTGTTAAGGTTAGTTCAATAATGCCTTCTAATAATGATTTTAAATGTTCATTTTAGTCCCCTCCTTATACAGATATTATGTTTCTGCTCCCAGTATAACTAATCCTATGCCCAGCTTTTTTGTAATTTGAGAGATATAATTTTTCTGCCAGTTTTTTTTTATTTACCTTTGTAGTATTTGTAGACTGT